GCCCCTCTCTCTTTCTTCTGGGATCCCAGTTCTAATATTGTTTTGTCTTATGGTATCACTTACTCTTGAATTCTCCCCTTGTGGTCCAGTAGTTGTTTGTCTCTCTTTTTCTCAGTTTCTTTATTCTCCATCATTTGGTCTTTTATATTACTGATTCTCTCTTCTACCTCATTTATCCTAGCAGTTAGAGCCTCCATTTTTTATTGGATCTCATTAATAGCCTTTTTGGTTTCGACTTGGTTAGATTTGTGCAGAAAGGGATTCTCTAGTGTCATGTATGCTTTTATCAGGTCCAGCTAGTATCTTTATAATTGTCATTCCGAACTCTAGTTCCATTATCTTACTAATGTCTGTATTGATTAGGTCCCTGGCAGTTGGTACTGCCTCTTGTTCTTTTTTTTTTTTTTTTTGAGGTGAGTTTTTCCATTTTGTCATTTTGTCCAGAGAAAAATAGGTGAATGAGAGAACAAAATGCTAAAAGAGTAACAACAACCCCAGAAAAAGATAAGGATACACTAACCAAATCAGAAGAGACCAAAAAGGAAAGAAAAGAAAAAAATAAAAAGAATATGATCAGGCTGTTGAATAGAACAGAGCTACACACTAGATTTTGGGTTTACTTTGATCTGTGAGAAGAAACTGCATCCCAAAACTTTAAAGAAAAACATATATATGTTTGTATATGTATATGTTTTATATATATATATATACACACACACACACACACACACACACACACAGAAAAAAATACAATGAGAGAATAGAATTTGACTGCAAAAATGATAATTAAAAAATATTTTAAAAAAGAAATTGATAAGGTCCTGGGACTTCGCAGTGATGGTGCACTGCAGTTGCGTGTGGTTCAGAAAGTATGGAAACTTCATTGATAACCTAAGACTCTTCGCCAAAGGAGGAAGTGGTGGAATGGGTTACCCTCGTTTAGGGGGAGAAGGTGGAAAAGGTGGTGACGTCTGGGTTGTAGCCCATAACAGGATGACTTTAAAACAACTTAAAGACAAATATCCTCAGAAACGATTTGTGGCTGGAGAAGGAGCAAATAGTCGAGTTAATGCACTGAAAGGGTCCAAAGGGAAAGACTGTGAAATTCCTGTACCTGTGGGTATTTCAGTAACTGATGAAAATGGTAAAATTATAGGAGAGCTCAATAAAGAGAAAGACAGAATTTTGGTAGCTGAAGGAGGCCTTGGTGGTAAATTACTCACTAATTTCTTACCACTGAAAGGCCAGAAACGAGTCATTCGCCTTGATCTAAAACTTATAGCTGATGTAGGCCTAGTGGGATTCCCAAATGCTGGAAAATCCTCTTTGCTAAGTCAGGTTTCTCATGCAAAACCTGCAATTGCAGATTATGCATTTACAACATTAAAGCCTCAACTTGGAAAGATTATGTATGATGATTTCAAACAAATATCAGTAGCTGATCTTCCTGGTTTAATAGAAGGAGCACATATGAACAAAGGAATGGGCCATAAATTCCTCAAGCATATAGAAAGAACCAAACAACTACTGTTTGTTGTCGATATTTCTGGATTTCAGCTTTCTTCCCAAACTCAATACAGAACTGCCTTTGAAACCATAATACTGCTTACAAAAGAATTGGAGTTGTACAAAGAGGAACTTCCGACAAAACCTGCACTTCTGGCAGTTAATAAAATGGACTTGCCAGGTGCTCAGGATAAATACCATGTACTGATGAATCAACTCCAGAATCCTAAAGATTTTCTGCATCTATTTGAAAAGAACATGATTCCAGAGAGGACCATGGAGTTCCAACATATCATCCCCATCTCTGCAATTACAGGAGAAGGAATTGACGAATTAAAGAACTATATAAGAAAATCTCTAGATGAACATGCCAATCAGGAAGATGATGCATATCCTAAGAAACAGTTGCTTAATTTACAGATTTCCAGTACAATATCTTATAATGAACCACCACCAAAAAATTGTTATTAGCCCCAGATAGTTGTAATTTAAATCTATTAAAAATGATACTGAGGGGCACCTGGGTGGCTTGGTGGGTTAAACCTCTGCCTTCAGCTCAGGTCATGATCCCAGGGGCCCGGGATCGAGCCCTGTGTCGGGCTCTTTGCTCTGCGGGGACCCTGCTTCCCCCTCTCTCTCTGCCTGCCTCTCTGCCTACTTGTGATCTCTCTCTGTCAAATAAATAAATAAAATATTTTTTAAAATTAAAAAAAAAAGAAATTGATAAGATGTTGGTTGAAAGAGAAAAGAAAAATTAAAAAAATATAAAAGAATAAAATAAAATAAAAAAAATTAACTTTGAAAGACTAAAGAATCATGGGAAAAAAGCCATGAAATCTATGTGTTGTATTCCTCTAGCACTGGAGTTTTGCAGTTATCATTGATTGATACACTTGGTCTTGGCTGGATGTTCTTGCTGATCTTTTGGAGGAGGGGCATGTTGCAGTGATTCTCAAATGTCTTTGTCCCAGGGGAAATGGCGCTACCCTTGCCAGGGGCCAGCCTAAGTAATCTGCTTGGGTTTGCCTTAGTAGCTTTTTCCCCCCCTGAGAGCTCTCCGTACAGCTTTAGAGGACAAGGATGAAAATGGTGGCCTCCCAGTCTCTGTCTCCAGAAGAGCTGAAAGCTCAGGGCCCCACTCCTCAGTGAGCCCTCAGAGAAAAGTAGTCAGCCACTCTTGTCTCCCTGGTCTCTGGCATACTCTCTGCTCACCTGGCCTGTGACTGAGAATTTCTGTCTCTGGCACATGACCCCATTTGGAGTCTCCAAACCCAGCAGATTCCTGCGGTGCCCTCCCATGCCTCTCCTCCCGGGAGAGAAAGGGGAGTCTGCCTGGATCTGCTGCTTGTTGGGTCTCTGCATGAAGAGCAGTGGCCCGACTGTGCTGTGGATCATGATTTATGGCAATGCTGAGCTGAGAACCCACTTCTTGGCTCAGTATTTGCAGCCAGCTTCCCTGCTCAGTTATCTGGGAGCTCTTCTACACTCAGGCACCCTCAGGCTTCCTGTAACCCAGAGGGTCCTGAGACCACACTGTCCTTGCAAGGATTCCAATCCCCCCACTTAGCCACTGGAGCAACATCCCTCAGCAGAGCAGACTTCTAAAAGTTCTGGTTTTGTGCTCCCACAGCTCTATCACTTGCTGGTAGCCAGCTGACAGAGGCTCCCCCACCCCCCAGCAGTCTGGCTTCCCGTATATCACCTCAGATTCACTTCTCCACACATCCTACCTTCCAGAAAGTGGTTGCTTTTCTGTCCATAGAATTACTGCTATTCTTTGATCGCCTGTTGTGTTCCTAGACATTCAGAATGGTTTGATAATTATCTAGCTGAATTTCTGGGACCAGACAAAATTTAGGTCTCCTACTCCTCTGCCATCTTGCTCCTCTCATCAACACATCTCAGATTTGAATATATTTGGAGATAGAATCAGAACCAAGAGAACCTGCTGAGGAATTGTTTTTTAGGGTATGAGAAAAAAAAAGTTGTAAATTTTTTCCATGTTTTTGGTCTGAGCAATATGGTAAATGTTTGTTAGTACCATTTAATGAAATGGGAGACAGTCACAGAAGGGGCCAACTGAAATAAGATATATATGACTGCCATTATTTTATAGATGAGGAAACTGAGGAGTAAAGAGTTTCAGTAAACTTTGGGCTAGAAGCCCGTTTGCCTTTTTGCTCGACCCAAATTTCTTAAATATCTCAATATGTTTTATTACTGGTTTTACTTATGATGATAACTCATGTTCATTTTAAAATTCTTTTAAAAAAAGAGCCTGAGTAAGGGTGTTTTAAAAGCCTTTGAGAAATTACATATTTTCTAGGATGGTAATGGTCAGAGAGCCTAGCAACTTGCAGATATCGGGTAATTGTTTGCTAGGTTCAGTCTCATCTTCAACTTTGACATTTTAAGAGCATGTATCTGTCTTGTAGTTAAGATAAATTGTGTGAATTGGGAGCAGCTGGGTGGCTCAGGGGGTTAAAGCCTCTGCCTTCGGCTCAGGTCATTATCCCAGGGTCCTGGGATGGAGCCCCGCATCGGACTCTGCTCGGCAGGGAGCCTGCTTCTCCCCACTCTCTGCCTCCTTCTCTGCCTACTTGTGATCTCTGTGAAATACATTAAAAAAAAATTTCATGAATTGAAAATTGCTGTTTGTCTTTCAGAAAATAGTGGTTAAGACTAGGAATCATAGGATCAGGTTTGGAGTCTTGGTCTGATCTTTACTTTTAGCTAATCACTCTACCATTCTCATTCTTAGTTTTCTCATCTGTGAAATTGGAATAATACTTATTCTTCTCACATAATTACTATGAATATGAATTGAAATCATGTGTTCTCAACAGTGCTAGCATACAGTGCCTATCAAATATGCAATTAAAGTTTATGGAGTGTTTTTTTTTTTTTAAGTTTTTTAAAAAATTCATTTGAGAGGGAAAGCACATGCATGAGCAGGGAGGAGGATCAGAGGAAGAGGGAGAGGGAGAAGCAAACTCTGCTGAGCAGGGTGCTCAATGTGGGGCTTGATCTCAGGACCCCAGCATCATGACCCGAGCCAAAGGCAGCCACTGAACCGATGGAGCAACCCATGTGCCCCAAAGTTTATGGAGTTTGAATTGCAATAAAGCCATCATGAGATATTCAGACTTGAAAGAAATTTGTAGTGGAGAAAGTTTGTGGGAAAATTCTGTACTATTTTTAAAATAATTTTATTTTTTTATTAGAGAAACCATGTATGTGGGTGCATGAGTCGGGGGGAGGGGCAGAGGGACAAGCAGATTCCCCTCTAAGTGAGGAGCCTGCTGTGGGGTTTGATCCCAGGACCCTAAGATCATGACCTGAGTTGAATGAAGTCAGGCACTTAACCAACTGAGCCATCCATGCACCCCAGAATATTCTGTTCTTAAACACATTACTTTTTCCAGAATTATTATATATATTAACATACATGTTATAATGAATATTTTACTGAAGGTGAATATTTGTGTTTACAGGTATTGGTTTGCCTTGAAAAAGGGTTATCACGTGGCTTTCAAAAATATCAGCAAAACTGATAACTTTATAGAAGAACAAATGGATCCACATAAAGAAGTTATAGATAGAATGACTGATTTGAGCATGCTCAGGCTATTTGAGACCTACCTGGAAGGCTGCCCACAATTTGTTTTGCAGCTCTACATCTTTCTGGAACATGGTCAAGCAAATTTCAGTCAGTGTAAGTCTCTCCTAACACCCTGTGTTAAATGGATCCTCTGAGATTTTTTTTTTTTTAATTTTTGTGTGGGGGGTGGTAGAAAGGGAGAGGGAGAAAGAGAATCTTTAAGCAGGCTCCATGCTCAGCACAAAGCCCAATGTGTGGCTCGATCTTAAAACCCTGAGATCCTGACCTGAGTTGAAATCAAGAGTTAGATGCATAAGTGACCGAGCTACCCAGGCACCCCTCAACTACATAACTCTTTGAGAGGTTTTAGAGGTTTTCTTACAGTTTCTTTCTTTTAAGAATTATTCATTTTTTTGAAAAAAGTATACTGTGGAAATATAAAAAAGTACATGAAGATATATTGTCTCCTTCTCCTTCTTCCCATTACTTCTTTTGTCTGCCAGAAAGGAAATTATTATTGTCAGTTTTTTGATGCTTCTTTCAGAAAAATTTTTAAAAAGTCCTATATTCTTTTTTCTTTTACAGAAATGGTAACATAAAAGTTGTGTTTGCTTTTTGCACTTAACGGTATGTCTTCGAGATCTATCTGTATCAGTCCACAAAGAACTCCCTCATTCATTTTTATTATCTGCATAGTATTACAAATTATGGATGATTTATTTAACAAGCCCCATATTTATGTTAATTTAGGTTGTTTATAATATTTTGCTATTGTAAAAAAATGCTGCAGTGAGTAATCTTATGCAGGAATCATTTTACATGTGTGAAGTATATCCATAGGGTAAATTCCCAGAATTGGAATTATTGGGTGAAAGTCCAAATGCCACGAAACAATGAAAATTTTGTAACTAGTCAATATATTGCTCTTCTATAGCAGATTTCGTCATTAGGGTAAAATGTTCATTTTTTAAAGGACAATGTTTTCATTAAACCTTTTTATGTATCTAATTTGAGATGTTAAAAAAGAAACCCACTTGCTAAGTAATAGCCCCAGTTTTCATTAATGACTCTGGTTCTATATACACTTGGATTCAGCTCAGAGGAACAGATTATCATTTTCCCTGGAGATCCTTCTATGCTAGAGTCACCTGTGAGATCATTTCATTCCCTCAGTGTTCCTCTTTCTCATTTCCCATAAAACTTTAGACTGTAGTCCCTTCTAATATTTTTACCTTTACTTTGATTGTTAGTCATATATCAAAGAGAACCTACTTATGAGATTTTTTTTCCTGTGATTCAAGGAATTTGTGGGTTTAGACTTAAAAAAGTTCTATATCATACAGTTCCTAAGCTAGAAGTTCAGTATTTAGAACTACAGCCTATATTATGTTAGATTTTCTGATGATTTCAAGTAGTAAATAGCATCCAGACCAGCAATGGGATCTAGTAACTGCTGTCTTTATGTTAAGGTTCTGTCCTTGTCCTTTAATTTCTACTTGAAGTAAGAAGTTGAGGTGTTAGTTAAAAATAGCAAAAAAATATGGGACGCCTGGGTGGCTCAGTTGGTTAAGCAGCTGCCTTCGGCTCAGGTCATGATCCCAGCGTCCTGGGATCGAGTCCCACATCGGCCTCCTTGCTCATCAGGGAGCCTGCTTCTCCCTCTGCCTCTGCCTGCCATTCTGTCTGCCTGTGCTCGCTCTCTCTCCCTCTCTCTCTCTCTGACAAATAAATAAATAAAATCTTTAAAAAAAAAAAAAGCAAAAAAATGAGAAATCGAATTATAGACCGTTAGTATAAAAAATGATGTAGCCATTAGAAATAGCATTTATAGATAACTTTTAATATCATAGGAAAGTAATTCTAAAATAAAGTTGAGGCAAAAAGTTTATGAAATTTTCTACTATACTTTTTTTTTCTTAAAACAAACTTTGGTCAGTTTTATTAAAGAAAAATTTTGCATGATTTACTACTACTCTGTCTATTCTGGCATGCTTCTAATGATACCAGAATAACCTAGGTCAGTGATAGCTAGTGTCAGACCCTATAGTATTTCCCACATGCTGTGCACAATTCAGTATTATTGCCACTGTAGTATCGGACAACAGTTGTGGACAACATGCAGTAGTATTCTATTTTAGATTTCCTCAAGGCTGGGCAGTTGTTGGCAAGGATGACCAGTTTCGCTTTGCCATGTCTGATCATTTTCAGAGTCCACTCGTACCCTAGTATGTACTCTCCACTTTTCATAGTGAGTTGGAATGTAGAGTTGATTGATTCCAGCCACTTTTTCATCTTCTTTGCAGCCGCCATCTTTTTGCCGTAGATGCAGGACAGCCCCATCCAAAGCAGTTGCCAAAATGGCCAGGAGAGAGAAAGGAAAGAGTTCCCACAATGCAAAGCTCTTCATTGTCAAATTTTCTATCCTACTTTTAAGGATACAGAGAAATTATTATATAAAGAATCTGGAAGAAAATATGCAAAAATGTCAACTGTGGCTGCTTCTGGGTAATAGGATTAGGAAAGGTTTTATTTCATCTTCTTTAAACTTTTCTAAATTAAAAAATTTTCTCTGCTACTCATATATTGTTTTGATAATCAAGAAGAGTAAAATGTGAAAAAAATCAGGTTATATATAGAAGTACTTCAGAAGACTGAACATATTCTTTTATCTTTGCACTCTCCTGAAATTATACTAAAAAGGAGAGTAAAGGAGTAAACACGGTATAAACCCATAGGGACAAAGAGAATGTAGAATAGAATAGCAGATTAGAGTCTCAAAAAATTTTTAGAAGATGGAAAGCAGATGGAAAACAGATTATTTAAATAAACTCTACCACTGAAAGGCTAAATTATTTGAATTAATCCTCTCTCTGAAAATATGTAAAACAATTGGATATTTTCAAAAGTCTGCATACACATGAAAGTGGGAACACAGCAGGGTTAAGTAAGACTCTGAAGGCATTTATACCTGGAGGTTTTTTGTTTTGTTTTGTTTTTTACCAAAACTGTAAGTAGCAGATTCAGTTTTGATAGCTTCCAGTATGTGGACTGAAGACAAAGCTCAGTCCTCATAAGGGAGGGACATCTGATAAAAAGATCTAATCTGTAAAACTGGTACTCCAAAAGGCACCCTCCTCAGGGCAAAGGTGTGAAGTTACCTACCTCATTATCTACTTTCAAGACACAGCAAGAAATATTGCCTTGCTATTGAGTAGAGCAGGGAAACTTAACAGTATAACAATTTTGCAATCAAAATTCTCAGTTTTAGTCCCCCAAACAAAACAAAACTGAAAACAAACTAATGAAAGCCAAGGTATGAATATAGTTTAGAGTGGTCCCAGACTGACAGTGACCCTAGCCATCTTGCACAAATAAGTATAAATCCTCCCTGGAGGAATTCATTTTCTCTCAGGTCTCAAATAATTTTCACAGATAGTTTTCCAAGGAAAATGAATGGCTTACAGTAATTTATAGCACACACACACAAAAAAGCATCATGAGTAAGAACAGCAGAAAAAAAAAGCTTATTAAGTCCTTAGATATTGGAACTTAACAGTTACAAAGTATCTGCATCCTATGTCAAAAGAGGTAAGTGATGAACTTAAAAATATGGAATAGGAAACTATAAAAAATGATTTGTGTGTTTGAAAAACAAAAGAGTACAATTTATGAGAATGATAAAATTTAAGAATTGAAATTTACTTAGCAGATAAGACATAGCGGTATAGACAGTGATTCAATGCTAGATCAGAAGAAATTTTCAGATTATACTATATAGAGACAAAGAGATGGAATATATGAAAAAGATATTAAGAGACATGGAAGGCGGGATGCAAGGTCTAATATACATCTGAGCAGAGTCTGTGAAGGAGAGGAGAGGAGAGAAAAGGAGAGGTCTAATATACATCTGAGCAGAGTCTGTGAAGGAGAGGAGAGAACAGCAGTAATTTTGAAAAGTTAATGGCTGAAAAAAATTCAGAAATGATGAGAGTCAACTACCCACAGATTGAAGAAGCCCTTCTTACAAGCAACTAAGTAGAAAGAAATCCATGCCTTAGCATATCACTACTAAAGGAAATTCCAAAGAATGTACTTCATATAGAACAGAGGTGTTCCAAAATGGAAGAAGGAATAAAGAAGAAAGAAAATAGTAAATATGTGGGTAAATCTAAATGAAGATTGACTGTAAAATAAAATACCATATGGTTAAGAAAAAGTTAGAAGGAAAGTACAAGACAGTGATAACATGTAAGTCTGGTAAAAGATAATGGAGTTAAAGTGTTTTGAATTCCTTGTATAGTCCAGAAAAAAGGTAAAGCAAAAGTGGATCTGGTTTTTTGAAGTGTAAAACTTAAACATTTAGAGAGACCTTATTTAAGAAAAAGAATATAATGTAAAAAATTAGGTATTGTTTAGTCTGTGTAGACTGCCATAACAGAATTCTGCAGCATAACCATTAGAAATATATTTTCTTAAAGTTCTGGAGATTGGAAGTCTAAGATCAACGTGTCAGCAGAATTGGTTTCTGGTGAGGGCTCTCTCTTTGGGTTGCACATGGCCACCTTATTGCTGTCTCCGTACATGTCCTTTTCTCTGTGTGTGGAGAACGATCTCTGGTGTCTCCTCCTCTTCTTATAAGGATACCAGTCCTATTATAATTGGGCCCCGCCCTTTTGACCTTACTTAACCTTAATTACCTCTTTAAGGCACTATTTCAAAATGGAGTCACATTGGGGTTTAGGGCTTCATCATACACATTTTGGGGGGAATACAGTTCAGTCCATAAAAGGTATGAAAGTAAACATTTAAAAAAATAAATTACAGTAAATTACATATATAAAAAAAGCTGACAAATTTCATAAGAGGAAGAAAAGTAATATATCTTTATTGTTTTGATAATTCTGATTTTTTTGGTTGCATCCTGATTGACTTTTGATTTGATAATTTTATAATACAATTTTTTTAGAGGGAATAGAAAAATTGTTTTCTAGCATATTTGATTGAAAGTTGTTTTTTATTTTAACTTGGAAAAGCTTCTTTTAGCTTCATAAATTATTAATCATATCATGTATATTTTTTGGATTGTTAAGTTTGGAAAAACACTGGCAGTTTTTTCAGTAATGTGGTATAAGTTCAGAATATATCACATTTTTTTGATGAAATAACTAATTTTCAATACTGTTTGAAGTGACAGTACTAGTTTATTATTGATGTCTCGTTTAGTAAATATTGGTAGTCTCAGGTTTTCTTCACAGGTGTCAGTAATGTCAAACTCAGAAATAAAATAATAACCTGTATATGTATAATTTGACAAGGCCATTTCAGACTGAGAGTAATACATAAACAAAGATATGGTTTGGTAAAGACAAGGAATTCAGTTTGGATAGAGTGTGACTTAATGTTAGGTTAGCTAAATGATTAGAAAAATATAGTAGAGCAGGTAGATTAGTAAGAAATGGGAAATAGTGTCAAACTAATAGTGTCAACTGGATAAGACTAAATAGACCATTATACCTTAATGTTAAGTAATCAAAGGCCCCGTTGGTTGAAATATAGTCAAGTGTTAGTATCAGGCAAACTGCCCAAGAATCTTAGCTCTGTCACTTAGTAAGATCTTAATTATTTAACAGATCTTATAAACATATCCTTCTAATCTAAACTAAATGTATTCTCAACTCAGTTTCCCTTAGATCTCCAAAATGACCACACTTCAATACACCAAAGGAAAATATAAGAGAAAGTAGGAGTAGAGACAGGGCATTTAATCAACTGCAGTTAAAAATGCCTTATTTTCCCAAATCTTATAAAAATATATGACGGAGTGTATACATTGCTTGGGCTTTCCTAGGCTTGGAAGGAACCTGGGCAAGTGTGAGTCCCTGAAATTTAAACCTCATTACGTTTGTTATAAATCTTTCTATGAAGTAAAACATTAATATTAAACTTTGATATACTAAATATGCATATTGTGATTTCTAGCAAAACCACCAAAGAATAAACCACAGTGACTGAAGGATGTGGGTTATTAGAGTGAAAGGGTAAACAAAAATGGCCATACTGAGCCCATCATTCTAACATCCAGAGAAGCAAGGATAAAGATAACATTCTATAAGATGTGAGAGAAACTGAATGGCATTGAAATTCTTAACTGTAGTACTTGAAACTAAGAGCTTATAGATAGAGTAACAACTTTAAAGTTTCAATGGAAAACATTTTTAAAGAATTTTTAAAGATTTTTATTTATTAGAGAGTGCATGAATGGGGTGGCGAGTAGAGGGGTAGAGGGAGAGGAAAGGGAGAAGCTATGTACTCCCCCTCCTTGCTGAGCAGGGATGCTGATGAGCTCGATCCCAGAACCCCTGACCCAAGTGGAAGGCAAATGCTCAACTGACTGAGCCACCCAGGCACGCTGAAACCATTTTTAAATTTTTTTTTTTTTTTTAAGATTTTATCTGTCTTCTATCTATCTATTTATCTGAGAGGGAGAGAGGAGAGAGAGCACATCGGGGGAGGAGCAGAGGGAGGAGGACAAGCAGACTCCATGCTGAGCACAGAGCCTGACTGGAGGCTTGATCCCAGGACCCTGAGACCTTGACCTGAACTGAAATCAAGAGTCAGATGTGACTGAGCCACCCAGGTGCTCCACGTTTTTTAACTTTCAATTCTGTTTTTAGCAAGACTGTGTATCAAATGTGAGGGTAGAATAAAGACATTTTGAGACATACATGGTCTCAAAAATTTTTCCTTAGGTGTAACTTCTCTCGAGAATATCTGGAGAATGCTTGATCAAAACATGAGAATAAAGCAAGGAAGACTTGAGAACAGGAAACCGGAATTTAACACCAAAGTGAAGTGAACAGAAGTTCTGGGAAGGCGGGAAGCAAACCTTGAGAACAGCTACCTTAGATCAATAGGATGCTATTCTTAAAAAAAAAAAGAAAAGGAACAAACTAATAAATGTGTATATAGGGGAGTTTTACTAATTAATTAATTTGAAGATTTTCCTAAGAGATATAAGCTTATGAAAAACCAAGTAAAGGAAAAGTGAACAGTTTTAAAAGAAAGGAAATATATCAATGTAATACTTGGCTGAGCAGTAAAACAAACAAACCAGTGCGTAAGTAGTTATAAGATAAACACCAAATACTGACTTTTACCAAAAATTGTGATGTTACTCTGTTGGGCAGATGGAGGGAGAGGAAAATGCAAGAAAGGTGTGTACTTATGTATGTGCTAAATTTTCTTCTTTCCAAAGAGGAAATCAAGAAGTAGTGTCTAAAGCAGATAAAGTATTTTTCTTTCTTTTTGTTTTGTTTTGTTTTAAAGTATTTGTTTTATTTACAAATACAACAGTAAATGTCAGAAGAAAAGCTAGAAGAGTTTTAGTGATTTCTTCTGGGGGTTGTGACAGAGAGGTGAAGAGAAGTGGAGCTTAGTGACTTTTAAATTTTATATATGTAATAATTTGTTTTTGTTTATTCAGTTGTTATGTATTTATGTATTAGTTCGGTAGAAGTTAAAAACTAATTAGAAAAAAGGCATAGGACAATTTAGCAGAAAGCAAAGCTTTAATTAAAATATATTTGAATTAGGGGTGCCTGGGTGGCTCAGTGGGTTAAGCACTCTGCCTTCAGCTCAGCTCATGATCTCAGGGGCCTGGGATTGAGCCCCACATCAGACACTCTGCTAAGCAGGGGGCCTGCTTCCCCCTTTCTCTGCCTGCTGCTTTGCCTACTTGTGATCTCTCTCTGTCAAATAAATAAATAAAATCTTAAAAAAATTTAAAAAATGTTTGAATTAAAGAAGAAAGAAAAAAGTCCAGCTAATTGTATAGTCCAGAATGGGATATGCTAAAACCGGGAGAGTAGACAAAGGCTTTTAAAATCATCATAAACTTTTTCAGTAGGTCAATTTCTTAAAGTCTGCCTTTTTATCCCAAGATATAGACCTCCAATGAGACTAAATGGGAAGGAATAGCATTCTGTGTTCTGCTTTAAATTCTTTTTAACCCTCTAATGCCTTTGCTTTCAGTTTTATAAAAGTTCCCAGCTCTGACAGTGGGGCTAGTGTCATCCTTTTCAAAGCAGTAATGAACTTCTGTTATTTGTTGGGGAAAAGAAGGGGTAAAGATGTCAAGTCTATAGAAATTTGTAAGTTTTAGAATATATTTATTTATTTGATTCATCATCTAAAAAATGGGAAATTATACTTTGATGAAAATTTTCTATTTAACTTCCCTCCCTTCTCCCTTTGTTCTTACTGCTGCCCCCCATTATGCTGTCTCTTGGTGAATTAAGTATATGTTCAAGGTCAAAGCCAAAGAGACTGAAAAAGCTCGGACTGTAACTGTAGTCTCTTAGAGGACTTCCAGAGTGTGTAGTTTCCATTATACCAGTTGCTCAATATAATTTATACAATGAATTTATTTAAAATCTTACAAAGCAGTCTAATATAGCATTGAAGTACACCAATTTTGAAATCAGGCAGATTTAGCTTCAAATCTCAGCTCTCTGCAACTTGCTGGTTGTATGACTTAAGTAATATGTGTATTTTCTAAGCATCAATTCTTTCATATGTAATATGGGAATATTAATATCTATTTCAAAGGAGTAGATGAGATGAGTATATAAAGTACCTGATGTGTTTGTGGGTGTGTGTATGTACAGATAAAGTATGTGTGGCATACAGTAATTTAATATTGCTGTTATTCCTATAACAGTATATCTATTTTTTATTTTTTGTTTTGTAGATGCAGCCATTATGGTCTCTTGCTGTGCTATTTCTTGGTCAACTCTTGATTATCAAGTAGCTTTAAGAAAATCCTTGTCTGATAAAAATCTTCTTAAAGGATCCTGTCCCAAATTCACATACCTCTTTTACAAGTTATTTACATTATTATCTTGGATGCTGAGTATTGTACTTCTTTTATTCTTAAATGTTAAGATTGCATTATTTCTATTGTTATTTCTTTGGTTTTTAGGGTTATTGTGGGCATTTAAAAAGCAAACTCGGTTTTGTGCTTCTGTAAGTATGGAATTCTTATATAGAGTTGTTGTTGGATTCATTCTTACTTTTACTTTTTTTAATATTAAGGGACAGAATACCAGATGTCCAATGTTTTGCTACTATAATGTAAGGGTACTGGCCACAGTGGGGATATTGGTTGTGTTCTGGGTTTCCCCAGTCTCTGTTTTTAATTCAGACTATTTTATGCCCATCAGTATCACTATAGCTCTTAGTCTTGTCCTTGGAATTATTTTTCTTATTGTTTATTACGGGACTTTGCACCCAAACAGAAAAGAAGAAACAAAACCTGATGAAATTGATGGAAAAACAACTCAAGGAGATTGTAGAATGAAGTATTTTATAATGGACTAGCTATTAATTTGTGAGATATGTTTTCTTCTTTGTTTCATTGGTTAATAAAGAAAATGTTATTGTATGTATTCTTATTTTTGCCCATTTATTTTTTATTTTACCTTTAATTTGAGATCATTTTCAGTACATTAACTATGACTGTGAGAGAGCCTCATAATATTTTATTATTTAAATTAATTTCTCATTTGGTTTTAAAGATCTTGGATACTCAAATACATTTCCATCTTGCCTAGTAGAGTTGCCAGCTTGAGCCTGAATTGGAAGAAATGTTCTGGTTCCCCCAAATTAGAAGCCTAGAATTGAGCTTCCCTTCAACTTTTCCCACATTGTTTCTTTTCTTTTTCTTTTTTATTATTATGTTCAGTTAGCCAGCGTATATTACATCATAAGTTTTGTAGTGTTCAGCAATTTATTAGTTGTGTATAATACTCAGTGCTCATTCCAATACATGCCCTTCTACATTCCCTCATTGTTTCTGAACTAAAACTAATGCTTGTAGTGGAGAACTGTGAAGGGAGAAGAACAGAACGCTCATTTCTCTTTTCTCTATTTTGTTGATTCAGTGCATATATTTTGAGTTGGGGGCAGATTGAGTAAAGAAAAGGGAAAAGAAGGAAAGGGGGAAGAAGCAAAACATCAAGTTTACTATATTTGGGGGAGGTAAAGATTTTATTTATTTTTCAGAGAGCAGCAGGCAGAGGGAGAAGCAGACTCCCTGCTGAGCAGTGAGCTTGATGTGGGACTCCATCTTGGGATCCTGGGATCATGACCTTAGCTGAAGGCAGATGCTTAACTGACTGGTTAAGTTTACCATTTTTAAGTGTACTGCTATAGCATTAACTAGCATTCACCCTGTGCATCTCTATAACTTTTTCATCTTGCAAAACTGAGACTCTATTCCTCCTGAACAACTTTCTGTTTCCTCCTCTCCAGCCTCTGGGAACCACAATTCTGTTTTTCTGTTTCTATAAATTTGATTACTTTAGGTAACTCATGTAAGGGGAATCATAGAATATTTGTTTTTTGTGACTGACTAATTTCACTTAGCATATTCCCCTCAGGTTTAATCATTTTGTGGCACATGACAGGATTTCCTTCTTTTTTAAAGCCTGAGCAATACTCTATTGTATATATTTGCCACATTTTCTCTGTTTATCCATCACCGGATTGCTTCCACCTCTTGGCTATTGTGAATAATGCCATTGTGAACATAGGTTTGCAAATATTTCTCTGAGATCCTGCTTTCCTCTCTTTTGGTGGTATACTCAAAAGTAGGATTGCCGAACCATAGAGTAAATTATTTTTAATCTTTTGAGGAAACTCCATAGTGTTTTTGATAGTGGCTGCACCGTTTTGCAATACCACTAATAGTACACAAGTGTTCCAGTTTCTCCACATCCTCACCAAAACTTTCTATATTTTGTATTTTTGATAAAGGCTGTCCTAATGGGTGTGAGGTTATATTTCATGATAGTTTTGATTTGCATTTCTCTATTAGTGATGTTAAGCACCACTAATGATGGTAATGATGTTAGCCATTTGTATATCTTCTTTGAGGAAATGTCTATATCTGATAAGGGGTTATTATCCAGAACACAGAAAGAATTACAACTTAACAGTAACAAAACTAAAATAACCTGATTGAAAAATAGGGAAAGGACTTTAGTTACCCAAATAATATATTAATGGTTTTCTGCATTATTCCTTATACTAAGTAGTAAATTTTGGTCCTAGATTGATAGTGAGGACAAATAGATTAGGCTGAATTCCTGGAAATAATGAAGTTTTTCCATCAAATTTGCATTTTTTGTTTGTTTGTTTCTTACCCTTTCTTTCCCTTGGGTAGTGTCTTAATGAGTCCTCAAACGATAGCTTTCTCTAAACCAGGAGGAAACAATTCCATTTCTATATTTAGTCTTATAACTTAATGTAAAACTGCTATGTAGCTTTCAAGATGAAGGATAAACTTACTAGATACAATGCATTTCAACTATCAGTGCTATTTGCAAACAATAAATAAATGTTAAGCACTAATTCTGCTCAGCTTTCTGCTAAGTACTGTTGTGGGGACAAAACAAGTGTATAATAGAGTTCTGTTCCTTGAAAAGTTTACATACTGAAGCATTTATAGAAACCATCTATCAGAATGTTTACTGTTTGTGATTTTCATTTTATAGTAAATGAAACAAATTATTGGATAACAGAAGGGTTATATTTATAGAATATATAAACTGAATAAGATGTCTCTTGTGCTATTCTTTGAGAAAGTTAGGCAGCACTGAAAAACCTTGCAGGAACTAGGGAATCTACAGTTTACTTTGGGCAACAGATCCTTGTAGTGTGGCCCCCTTATTACATATCTCTCTGTCTCTGCAGGTTTGGTGGTGTGTGTGTGTGTGTGTGTGTATATATATATGTATATATATGTATATATACATATATATATATATATACACCATATATATATATGGTTGAGAGAGTGAAGATGGGAAAAGGAGTTAGGCTCACTTAGTAGCACTTTAATCAGAATCTTTGAGTTATAAAGGACAAAATGAAAGTCTTAAAATGAAAGTGCTTTCATTCCATTCTGAAGACTTAAATGTTTATGTGTTACCACTTCCCTTTGGCATAGAAAATCTCTCTTAGCATTTTCTGTAATTCAGGTTTGTTGATGAGGTTTTTTTCTTTTATCTGAACATGTCTTTATTTTTTACTCTTATAAGATATTTTTGCTGAATATAAAGTTCTGGGTTAACAGTTTTAACCTCTTTATGCATTTTAAAGATCATTCTGCTAATTTCTGGCCTCCATTGTTTCTGATGAGAAGTTAGTGATCATTGAAGTCATTATCCCTTGTTTGTAATTTGTTATTTTTCTCTGGCTGTTTTTAGATTTTTACCTTTACTGTTTTATTTGCAATAGTTTGACTACTGTGTTTATGTTTGTAGTTTTTCTTTGTATTTTCCTAATTAGGGTTCTCTGATCTTGAACATACAAATTTTAGTCTTTCACCATTTTTAGAGAGTTTTCAGCTATTATTCTTCACATATTCTTGCTATCATTTTACCTCTCTTCTTGGACTCCATTAACATATATGTTAGACTTATTGATGTTATCCCATACATCTCTGAGGAGCGCATTCATTTTTTTCCAATTTATTTTTTTTTGTTCTTCAATAATTATTGGATTTGTCTTCAAGTTCATTGACTTTTTCCTTTATCTTCAATCTACTGTTAAGCTCATCTAATGGCTTTTTAAAAATTCCAGAGATCTTATTTTATGTTCTAGAATTTCCATGGTTTTTTTTTTTTAATGGTTTTTATTTCTCAGCTAAGATTTGTATCCTTTTTATTCATTATGAGCATGTTTTCCTTTATATCCTTTATTGTAATGGTAATAAGTATTTTAATAATAATACATTTAAATAAATAATAAGTGTTTAAAAATCCTTGTGTGTTAATTTCAATATCTGCATCATCTCAAGTTTGATCTCCATTGATTGCCTTTTCTCTTGAACACAGGCCACATTTTCCTGTTTCTTCATATGTCTATTAATTTTCTTATTTCCAGGAAGTTATGAAAGGTATATTTTAGACCTCTCTTGATCCTGTTTGTTATTGAGAAGAATATATATTTTTTTCTTTTAGCAGACTGCTAACTTGAACTTTGAACTATGAAAAGGCTTTATTCGCTCAGCCTTCAGTGTGCTGCTTGGATTCTGCCTCTCAGTGCCGGTCAGAGAATTAGGAAGACTTAATATGGAATAAGGCTTGCTCTCTTTTGTCTCTTTCTCTCCTCAGATTTTCACCCTCACTTTTCACCTGCTATGGCCACTCCATACTCTGTCTTCTGGGCCTTAACCACTAAGATTGTAGGTTTTCTGTGTTTTTGTACCCAGTATGTTGATTGGGGTTTATCCTCACTCAGTATCATTCTTTCTTAAAAATGTTGACCTCTTCAATGTCTGCCTGCTTTTTCCTTCTCAAGTGCTTTCAGGTAGTTTTTTCCTATATTTTGTCTGGAGTTTAGAGTGGTTATTTATAAGGGCTTTGTGCTTTTTATTCATCAATAACAGTTTCAATACTCTGTAATATACACCATTCTTTCTGGATATTTGCTTAAACATGATGTGTGAATTTCTTTTATTTAGCATTTAATCTTCCCTTATTCTTACTTCCTTGACCCTCAAAAACCCCAGCAATATAGATATTATTTTTTTCCACTACTCTTTAGCTGGGCAAACCATGCATTTGGCAAGTTACTTGCCAAAAGATCAAATCTCATATTTTCTGACCTCAAGTCTAGTTTACTTTCTGTAGAATCATGCTGATGATGAGATTAAGTGACCATCAGCAGCCTAGAGCTGACGCTAAGTTATACATGATTTAAAAATTATTATGAATTACCCAAAACACAATTTTTTAAAAATCTGGCTTAAGTAGTTTTTGGTCTTAGCTCAGGATGTGGCTAAGGTTCTGTCACTGAGAGTTTGAATAATTTTATATATATATATATATATATATATATATATATATACACACACACACACACACACACACACATACACATGTATATGTATATATATGTATATAAAATGGGAAGTAGCAAATTATGTAATGGAAAAATGGGTAGAAAATAATACACATACATTGAAGAACTTAAATATTAAATTCCCCACACAAACCTGGATTGAACATTCATTCACTGAAGAAACATTTTCCCACTGATTTTACAGACAAGGAACCAATAGGTGCATACTGGTAGGATGTTTTGGTTAGTCAGCAAGCTTTTAAAATGAACTTCATATTCACTGAATTTACTTTTATTAATTTTATTCTTTGGTTTTCTGTATCATTCAGTCATGGCTTTATAGCAATTTTAAGTCTCTCCAAATAAATATAAGCTTTTCTTAGAGTATTTGGTGCATATAAAAGGCCTTTTGAAATTTGGAAAAAGCATAAGAATAATTATGAGCAATACTCTTGAAAGAATACTCACAT